CATATGACACGTTTGTTTAATAAAGACCTTAGTATACCCTCAGTGAAGTTTTTTTCACATCAAGACGATATAATATTTTCTTTCCTATAATCCATAATCACTGAAAATGTATCCCAAATCACTAAACTTGGTTTGTCTGGTGTCATTCACAAGAAATTGAATATATGGATTTAAGTGTATCACTTAAAAATGTACTGAAAAATGTAAGTGTAGTCAATTAAAAACATTTTCAAATTGATATTCTAATAGTTGTCCGTTTTCTTAGTTGTCTTATTTTCCACGCCTGGTTGAGTTGCACTAGGATGGGTACAAGGCATGAAACCACTGCTGCCTGATGAATGAAAAAGCCATGAGTAATTCCACATTCTGTGTCCTTGAGTGTCTTCATTCATTTATATAATGCATTTTTTAGATATTAATATTAAAAATACCCTGAGGAGTTTCGTTCTCGATTGATATTGTTGTCAAGGTAGTTCAACACCAGCGGTGTTTTTTTTTTCTTCACTTAGTATCCATAATTCATCAAAACACACCGCGATACTCGAGGTTGTCCAAGTTCACATGAATGCCGTCATCTTTATGACGTTATCTGCTGACAGCCAATCACTTCTGTCTGTCACAGCTCTAACCTTCTTGCTATTTCAAAAGCAGAGTTTAAATGACGTCACATAAAGTTGAGTTATTGAACACAAAGTTTTTTTCGTTTCATTTTAACACTATGAACAACTGTTTCGACATTAATCAGGAAAAGAGTAATAGTTGCAATCTCAGAATATTTTTTTAATCAAATACACTCGCCTCTGGTCACCATCAAAAATATATCACTGTCTTTAAACGTCAACAGTAGGATTTACCACCAGGGGGCAGATGGGACTTTTGATTTATCAATGCTTTTACACTTCTTTCGCCTCATTCATTTACTAACTTTTGAGCTGACAGTAGAAAACATAGCAAGCAATAAAACAGCACAGTGTTGGACGTGTCAAATGTCCACACTGAACAGGCAACATTAAACGGTTGGACAATTACACCAAAACAAACTGGCACAGCTCCAGAGTTAGCCCAGAAGTCAACGTCTCTGTTAATCCAGGTTTGAAATTATATACTCAAAAAAAATCACTTTCTTCTCTGTCTTCTCTCATATGGAGAGCTCCATCATTATACTAAAAGCAACTGTGGTTGGTCGTCCTCTGGAACGCATCTGGGATTCGCTCTTGGCAAACATGAAGATGCTTTTTTTGCTGACTGTCAGCACATCACATATTTGTCATGACCTCACTTTTTCAGATGCTGGAACATGTAGCAAGTAGGTGAAATGCTTGGCTTCCTACTATAATACTATAATTCCATGTGATTTATTCATGAAAGGTTCAAAGGGTCACGTGGTTTTATGCCTAATGATAATGAACTGCCACAAGCGTCGAGTGTGTCAGATTTAAGACAAGAGATTCCCCTTTCTAACCATCCAAACACAACGGAAGACTGCGCAGACACAGCAGTATGTCCTCTGCATAGAGACATGTCCTGCCAGGAAGACAACAGGGGATATTTAGACGAGGGTCTAAAACCAAGAATGAACTGAAGAAGCGTCATGGAAGAGAGACGAAACTGGATGGAGTGGGAAAATAAAACCTTGAAATTATTCTGAAGCTCGTTAGTCACTTTCTCTGTTTCTTATCACTACAACATGAAGTATGGCTCCATTTAATGAGTAATCAGCCAAGTTTAAAAGTGATGATGCTCACAAGACCATTTCTGGCAATGGGCCTGTGCAGGCTGCATTCAGAGGGGAAAGAGACGAGAGAATTCCAACTGCGACGTCACTACTGTTATGTGGAACGTCTTAAACTCAAACAATCTGTATACAAGTACATGCATTTCTAATCATACATGTAATACCCCTGAGCCTCTCCTCAGTACATGGGTAACCTTTGGGCTCTCTTGCTTTAAATGTGGTGACGTGAATTTTTCATAAATGTCTGCTGCCACAGCCCATAAGCTCTGAAGCTGATTAGCCTTTGTTTATTCATTCCAGAGGTGCCAACCACAGAATCATTTTGTAACTTTGACACCAAGTCATTTTGCGTTCATTATTCACGGGAAAACCCCATGTCCTTAGAATTATTGAAAAAAAAAAAATCCCCCTAAAGTACAACCAAAATGAATAGGTTTAGAGTTACATAGACAAAACGATAGAAAGACGCTTCCTCTTCTTCTCCTAAAATATTTGGTCTAAATTTTAGCTTTGACTTTTACCTGGAAAAACTTTAACTGTTGAAACAAATGAAAGGTCAACCAATGGTATGGAAAAAAAACTTGGCAGAAGTTACAAGTTAGATTTGAAATTGACAATTGAAATTTACAAAGAGATGCCTAAAAATAGTTGGAATAATGAGTAGTTAGTATAAAGAACTAGGGACTATCAATAAAGAACCATAAAACATAGGACATAAAATTTAAAAGGGATTTTGAAAGAAGGTCACGAGTTTGACCTGTGGAGCTCCAAATGTTTCCTGCAGTGTCTGGTTGTTGATTTGTTTTCAGTAGACAGCAGATGTGTGTAGAATAGAAACTGTATCTGCAGGACAAATGTGAAACCGTCATTACACAGCACATGGCTGTAATTCTGAAACAGAGAGATGTGCCGACTGACAGAGAGACAGATGGACGGACACCTCATTCATGCTCTTAGGCAACTTTAAATATCCAGTAATGTCATAAAATAATCTAAAGTTAGTTTAAACATAGAGGGAGGAGTGTCACGTGGGTATGGCCACCGCTGCCCACCAATGAACACAGGCATAGAAATAATTCAATAACATTTTAAAAGCCTTCACTCAAACAACACTAACATTCCAATATTAGCTAAGAACAACTACAAGTTCTTCACAAGTGAGATTGTACAGTAAACAGTGTGTGTGTGTGTGCGCGCGCACAATAGTATTTACACATCGAGCCCTGTTACAACTACAGAAACACAAGGCTGTCTTCAGTATTCACTTTATAAATGGATGAAGAGTTATGTGCATGTAGGATGGAAATGAATAATTCACATACACTTTTAGTGGGGTTAAATTATGTGCATTTTTTAAAAAAACCTACTGTGATTGGTTAAACATGTCTGCACAGACATGAAGAACAAAGATGTGGATTGTACTAAAAAAGCCAAATCATTAACATAAGAATGTGAAGAAATTCTGTCATGTGCAGCGACTGCAGTGGCTGTAGCCAGTCCAATGACGGAGGTCGGACGCGGCCGGCTTACATGAGTGGACCCAGGTGGGTGGTAGGGGCTAGTTAGGACTTGATGTAGACAGAAAGAGGCGTGGCCTGTGTGCAGGCATGTCAATCAGGTGGGCTCAGTTTACCGCCCTGAAGACACACCACCAAGCACCAGTTGTTCAGCTGGTTTTTTCACTTATTCCTCTCAGTCTAGGTACATACAGCTTTCAGTGCTGAGTTTCTGCAACTTTACAATAACAACTGCTGGAGATATGTTTTAAAAAAACCAAAACATTTTAAACTAAATATTTGAGCCAAATCGTTGGTGGGTCATTTATTTTTATCAAATGGTTCACATGAACTTAATTCTGCTTTGTATACAATGTCTTTCACTGTGAAAAGCAGTAAACTGTGTACGTTTGATTAGCTGCTACTGATGACCAAAAGAACAAGGATATTCGGGTAGGTAAAACAAACTGTACTCTGTTTACACAGTAGCAGTTTACATATTTCAGTATGTCTCAACTCTGATGTAGTCATCAGAAGATAAACTGTGGTCACAAGAATTGACCTGGTCAGCAACAATTCCATGGAAGGAGTTAAAACCACAGCTGTGCAAAATGTGATTACATCAGGCGGAAGAAGAAAATTGTTCTTACAAAAGAAATAAGCAAATGACCAAATGTCAATGATAAAAACATTAAAGATGTTTTGAGGGTTCATTTAAGAATTTAATTTTAAGAAAACTATCAGCATAGTAAACACACAATGTTGGATGCTTAACACCAGGCTAAAATTACAACCGAGGGATCTAGATTTTAATTGCTAGTAGAAACAGTCCATACAGTGCTGTAGACTATTGATACAGTATCCTGAAACGAAATACAGTATCAAAGACAACTGTTACTGCAATGTCATTAAATGGACTCCACAGTCAGCAGATATGAAGGCAACACTATTTCATCATCAGGCCAATATGGAATGTTTACAGCATTCTGTTGACCACGATTTAAGACAGTTGCAAAGGCAACGTCGGACTGAAGCACCTCAACCAATCACGTGGTGGCCAATTAGAATGGATTTGAACAATCATGATGACCTTTGCAGACATACATCAGTTCAGACTGATCAGCACCACAGCAGCAGCAGCAGCAGCTTGTGTGTGAGGCAGGGAGACAGACCCTCCAACAATGACGCTGCAACAAAACTTGACACCGTGAGGTCATTAGAGAGAAGCAGCTATCGTATTTCACTCACCTGCAGTGTTTACAAACGCAGGGTAAACATACAGTCGCACTACAAACTCACACTGCAACAAATATGGGTTCATACGGAACAGTTTGACCGCCCCTGAAGCCCCTGGTCTTTTAGAGTCTGTTTCTGTTTTTCTGCATCAACATCCCGCTGCTGAGTGGAGCAGGAATTTGTACACAGTGCATGAAGCGCATTCACAGATGCAGTTAGAAATTAGTTGACAAGCGCGTCATTAATTGACGATGCGTGCCCGCTGTCTGTCAGCATCACGGCTGTGGTGTGACCATCATTAACAGATGCCTGACCGGGGGCACGGTGCGAACACCGCCGGATCTACGGCCCTGTACACCGGCCCGCTCTGACACGCACCGGTAGCGTCAGTGCGGCCGGCGCAGCTTCTGATTACTAGTATGATTTGAGTGACGCTTCATGCGTCCAGGTGGCGCTAGAACCACTCTGAGGCATGACGGAGCGTTGCGCTTGGTCATGGTTGAGGTTTACGCGCGGAAGGGGGGAAAACATACCTGTCAGAGCCGCAGCTGTTGCCTCTCTGCTGCTGTGTCCTGTCGGAAATGTTTCAGTCACCCTGGATCTGACTCCTGCTCATCCTGCCGCTTGTGTCCATAGACCACGCGTGTTGTTTCAACACCGCTGACGCTGAGGAGGCGGGGTGTGGGCCATAGAGACGACCTGCAAGTGGACAAAGAGTCTGTCAGTAATCAAAGGTCTCAACCAATCAGCTGCGGCACAACCTTCTCCATCAGTAACTGTGCAATGCACGTTAGCATAGTTCAGGTGCACAGCTGGTAAGTTATTTTATTTTAGGGGGTATTTTACTTTAAATTTGATTGAAAATATAGATTCCCACAGGGTGCAATGCGTTGGACTAGTGTAGAAAGTTACCGTTTAATTAGGTTTAACGACTGTCACGTTACCACACTAAAATTCCCAATTTGTTTAGTTACGTCAGTTAAAAACAACACGACGGGAGAGGCATACATGACCCGCCCACTCGGTCTCTGATTGGCTAGTAGTGGTTACTTACGTTTGTTCGATTGGCCAGTGTCCTAGGTTATGGGCAAAAATATTGCGCTCCCTTCTCTGATACTCCTTACAGTAGACTCAGGTAACAACACAAAAACTATATTTTCCCAGGACTGATGGGTACGAGACTCAGGGACTACAGCAACAAAAGAAAATATTTTTTTAAAAAGGCTAAAGTGGATGTCAATAATAGTTCTGCATGAAGTCCTGACGCTAACCGACATCTGTGTATTATTATTATTATATTATTATCTGTGTATTATTATTATGTCGAAAATGTAAATAAAATGTCCTTACCTTTTCCCCCTATATTTCCTTTGTCATCGTTGCTCCATAAAAGTATTTAAGTTGTCTGTCTGTACTGTATAGGCTTTAAACAAAATGATACATCAGTGAACAAAATCGATGAAAATACACATAAAACAGTAGTCGCTGTCTCTTTTTTAATATTCATTTCACACCGACCTGTCAGTTAGGATCAGGGTTTAGTCTCCCCTCTACTGGCAGAACAGGAAAATGTCTTCTCCCGCAAAAGAACTCAAGGTTATTTGTATGATATTTTGTACACAATAAAAAAATGTAACGTGTATCCCATTGGTTCTTACAGTCCTTTGCCAAACCAAAAAAGAGGGGAGAAAAAAGTCCTAAAAAACCCCTTTAAAAAAAATCAAATTACAGACTTTAACAAGATTCTTTTAAACAAAGAACATTATTAACATCTCTGAGATTGGGTATTACTACAATATTTTTTCCCAAAGAACTAAGTTGAATCAGTGTGAATCAGAGAACACAAAATGTGGCTAATGGTTTCTTTCTATTTTTTCTTCAAAAATACTTCTAAACATACATTTTTGTATTTACAGTTTGGACTATTCTAGAAGGTCCAGGTTCATCTCCACCTCCCGCTGGGAAAAGGTGGGCCAAATCCTGGACTTGCATTTTGGAAAAACCTCTGCTCCGGCCTCATCGGGGGAAATCTTTGGAAAGGTGGGCCTGGGGGAGAGAAAGCTGGGGGCATTCTGAACCTGTCTGCTGCAAACATGGGCCCCCCGGGCAACACTCGTGGGGGCATGTGGGGTCTGTTTTGAGGTGAAAAGAACGGTGGCAGATGAGGATTTGGAATTCCATGGGGGCGTGGCATGGGGGGCATATTAGGTCGAGGACCTGGCATCATTGGTGGCCCTGGCAGAGAGATTGGTGGTGCTATGGGAGAGCTGGGCAAACGGGTGTCAATTCTGGAGTGTGGGGGATGGTTTTTGTCTCGTGTAGTTTCTGAAATAGGCTCTTCTTGAGATTTAAATCCTGTAGCTGAGAAAGAAAAAGAAGATCTTATTAGTATGACATTAAAGATGGTAGAATGATAGGAGCTGGGAGTCAACATGCAATAACATTCTTTACAGCCACAGATGGTAACAGCAAGGCAACAAAGAACCATCTTTAAAATCACTGCACCTTTCCCACTCTGGGTGCTAACTCTGAACTATTTCTGAGTTAATTTTTTAATTGGTTACCTTTTCTTTGTTGTTTGTGTTTACTTTTACTGATTTTTCTTTTGAAGCTAATTTTAGTCAACTATAGATCTGACAAACTTTCAGTTTTGCTATTTTTGTAGTAACTTTTATTTATCATTTTGCCAGCCTTGACCTTTTTGTCAACTATTTCTTTTAATTCTGTGCTAATTTTATGATTAAGCTTTTGCCTTTTTCTAGCTAATTTTTCATCTATTTTCTATTTTTTTATTTTCCAACTAACTTATACAGTATGTTCCTGAGCTACTGGTCTAAATTTTAGTTTACATTTTTAACAGATTTTATTTTCTTTAGCACAGCCTTTCAACAAACTATAACTATGTAGGTTTTATTTCAGCTTCATCTTTCCTTCTGCATTATTAAAAACAGACATATCCTCAGATGCTTCTACAAAAGTTCAAAGTACACAAGACCCAAAATTTACATTTGTACCGCCTTTTGGAAATTCAGAACACAAGATGTAAATGTAAGTTTTTGCAGTGATTCCAAGGACATTTACAAACCGCAAACAATGAATGTAGCCAGAAAAATTCTAAATACCTGTTGTCAACGTTGCTGGGTCTGTAGGGTTGAACACAGCTCCTCCTGCAGGCACAGCGGTCGGTGACATCATAATGGGGCTTGAAAAGGCAGGACTTCTAATGGGCTCTACCTGTTCAACAGCTGGCACCTGGAAGACACACAGAAGAACTGTATTTTAGGTTTGTGATGACAGATTGAAGTGACACATGAGGAACACTGTATTTTAGGTTTGTGATGACAGATTCAAGTGACACATGAGGAACAAGACGACCGCAGAGAAAAACCTCAGCCCCATGTTCATCAGGGTGATAAAGCACCAGGGTTTGGAGCGATGACAGCCTCAGATTAAGGCTGGTTTTGCAGCTCGTGGTGCAACATTGTTGGAATTATTGAACCGGTCACATTCATGTTCATAAATCAAAACGGTCCAAAAGAAGGGTCTTGTGTCCACTATTCCAACTGACCAACCAAGATTTTGAATGTGCACGAAGATATGAATACCAAGAAAAAATATTTTTTGTTTAGTACTTTTAGCAGCAATCAATGATTCTTTGTACTGCAGGAAAAACATGCTTAAAAACAAAACAGAAAAATAAAACTGACCACGGGTCGAATATGGAGACAAATACCATCTAATAACAAACACATCCTTAAATTGTGCAACGGACTTTATTTAAAATAATCACTAACAAAACAAAGTATCTCACAGTGTGAAGATTTACTGCATACTCTTGAATAAGTGAATGCAATTTTCATGCAATTTTCCTTTGATTGGATTGGTTTCATACAAATACATTTGTCAAATAACTGAACAGTAACATGGAATACTGCCTGGAATACTGAATTCCAGTACTCCTACTGAAGACCAGGATTTAATTTCCCTCCCCCCCCCCCCCCCAAAAAAACAAAAACAAAAACAAAAACAAAACAAAACACTGGAAACTTCCTTAAATTCTTGGGGGACACCCACATAGAATAAAATAAAAATCACATTTTTTCTATTTACATTATTATTTGATAGATTTTGGAATCCAGTTGTGGGCTGGATTGGATAGCTCAGTGAGCCCGATTTGGCCCACGGACCACCAGTTAATGATCACTGCTATACTGGTTCTGTGACCATCAAAAGTTTTTTTTTTTTTTGTTCATGTATTTTTATTCCTTGAGTAGCACCCTATATTTAATCCTGGATTAAACAATAATACATTTCATATTATTGTGTTATTGTCAACGTCATTTATTATTTTTATTCTAAGTTTGACTTTATTTCATGTGTTGCTAACTGTCTGGGTCAGGAATTTTAACGTCATTGAGACTTCTTTTTCTACATAAATACAAGTTAGGTAAATAAAAATGTATTTATTTGTGCTTTAGTCATTTACATGAACCTGAGTGAATTTTTAACACAAAAACCTTTTAATTTAACTGAAAATCTTGACCTTTTTATTAACCAACCTTAGGAAAGGTTGCAACAGAGCTCAGGATAGAGAGAGAGAGTCCCACAGGTCCTGGGACTCATCAAACAACAAGTCAATTGGCAAGTTGTATGTGTCTGAACACTGGATATAAACACAGCATCCAACAATGGCATCAAAAGAAGTGGCTCAGTACTCAATGCTTCAATTTTGTCAATTACAAAACGCTTATTTCTCTGTACAAAAACTAATATACTTTTTATCATTCACAGCTAATATTGTAAACATTTCAAGGGAGTCAAAAAAAACTGTATGTATGAGGTGAAAATATAGACTGTGGATAACAAAAAAGTTGTGTAAGAACAGGAGAGTTGTGGGATAGATTCCGGACTTTGTGTTTTACATGATCTCCTGAGCAGCCTGGCTGACAGTGAGCAATTGACAAATGGCAGGAGTGAAGTGCTTTGTGATGTCATCAGGACTACAAAAGCCACATACAAATTTACCAATTTGAAGGTTCTATCTGGATTTTGCAGTGATGTCACATGGACATTATGTCGATTTCTAAAGCAAGCAGAAGGGGGTGCTGTTTAGACCCCGTCAACAGAATAGAGATATGCTACACTCCTTCACAGTTATTTCATTTGAAAAGATAGTGTTAAATCATCATATTACTCCACAGTAAAACCTTCTTCCTTTGTTCCTTCCTGACCACAGTCATACAGATGATGTAAACTCACAAACAGTGGCTTCATATCTAGTTATAATAATGACAGCGATACCAAAACCAATAACAACAACACACATGCATACTTTAAATAAATGGATGACAAATGACAAAAACACACAGTGACTTAGTTGTCAGACATTAGCTGATCAGAAATACTACTGCAGTATTCAGAACTGGTCATCCAAGACCCCTCACACCCCAAATTGCAACACTGCACACACACACTCACTGTTTTTGGATTTTTGTGGAGCTCCCCTTAATATTAACTATTAAAAAAAGTCTAATCTTAATCATAACACTAATCACATACTAATCCTGACTTCAAAGTCAGTGGGGGCACAAACCACGGATACAGCATACACACCAAAATTGTATTTTTCAAAAAGCTTCCATAACTATAGCCGTACCAGGAACACACAAACACCGGTTTTCTTGATGTATTCTATAACATGCCTAATCCTGATATATAATATATATACTTAACTTACAATGACTTATCTTAAACCTCGAGATACTCACCAATTCCCACCAATGACTAAATGTAGTTTTTGTGCCCAAAAGTGGATTTTGTTTATAACACACATTGTAAAACATTGTCTTTGTTTTTTGTTGTTCTAAAAAATATTTGGTGGATTCCACCTAAAAATATATCAAGCCAAATGTCAGAAGTTTTAAGCAGAAGTCACATTTTGTTGAAAAGATATCAGACACTCAGTTAAATTAAAATAAAATAACATTTTTGTCTAACATTATTATCTGATGTTTATTTTGGAATCCACTTGTGGGCCAGATCGGACAGTTCAACGGGCCAGATTCAGCCCACGGACCGCCAGTTGATGAGTATAGTTCAAAATATAAATTTAAGGACAATTCTCTGGTAAAAATGTGTTAACGTGGAGATTGAACGCAGGTTTGATCTCTTGGGAAAGTAACAGCTGCTGAAAGACTCACTCTGAACATCTCTGATCCTAAACATGTCAATCTTTGAAGCTGATCTGCTACAGTAACAGAAGGTTACTGTCCATTTAAGGTGCACATCAAACCTGGTCCTTCATGATTTTGTGGGTTTAATAGTAAAACCATTCTTTTCCTGTGTGCCACCCAGATGTTTTTCTAATATGATACGACTACAATTTTCTAATATGATACAATAAGTAACATTGGCATGTAAAGAATTTTTAAGGTGGTATTGCTGATATTTTAGATGTGAATGTTCAGTCTAACATCCTGCAGTAACTCTAAAGGACTAGTGTGTAGGAAAAAAGGATTCAAAGCAGTAGTGGTTCTTTTTTAACAGATTGTGAATTTAAAAAGGAATAGTAGTGTAGAAACATAACATTAAAGACAAGACTTGCCTTTTAATAGATTTTGTGTTGTACTATCACTATTGGGAAATCTAACCTTTACTTTGGCTTTCCCTAAATTTATCTTTTGTGGTAATAGATTGGGCTTAGAATTTTATAATTTGTACTTAAAATAACAATCACAGCAAGGCATGGTCATTTTTGACACCAGAAGATCAAAGGTGTTGGCATTCCGAAGAAATTTATGGGGGAAAAAAAACAACTATGGTTTTACTGTGATTAAAGTGTCTTCAAAGAAAAGGCAAAAACACACATTCAGCAACATAAAGACACTGGACTGGCAGCACTAGTGAACCTTAACAAACATCAAAGACGCATGCTTGGTTACTTTTGGAATAATAGTATTTTGGGTGAAAGGTGTGTTAGAGTACATTGATCAAAATCTATGGAATTAAACAAAGGCAAAACCACTTAAACAAAACAAAAACATTGCTAGGATGACTGTACATGTTTCTGAGCATATGAGATGTTGTTGTGATGTTCCACCAGGGACAGAGTTTCCTAAAGGTGAATGATTAACAACAAAATAGGAACAATGAGAAAACATTTGAAGTATTCTAACCTGATCCTTTGTTACTTGTTACTTTGCGTGCAAACTGTATTCCGTAGGATCCCCCTGTGACAAAGCCAGAGCATTGGTTCCCAAAGTGAGGGGCAGACCCCTACTTAGGATGGGCTGTGTAGCAAGGCAAATTAATTTCAATTTCAAAATATCTATATTTCTTTTTGCCAGAGGGGGAAAAATACACTAACTTGCAATTGAATTACTTTGTTTAGTGAGTATAGTAATTCTTCAGGAAGGTAGTGGAGATTCCAACCAATAGCTTTGACTATGGTAACGTGGTTAGACTTGACAAAAGAAAGCACTGAGCGAGATGACTATACGCGTGAATTAAACTGATTAACCCCAATCACATTTTCTCATTTTGAATTTTCACAAGAATCAGCTATAATCAGACTCTGATGTGATTTCCCTCCGTCTTTAACATTTCATTTTAACCTAAGAATAGGATTCCACATTTTCACATATCTTTGGGATAACACTCACCTTTGCCGTCAATCATCTAACCCTGTTGTTCTCCCGTCTGGGTAATAGACCAACGTTGAGGAAAATGAGGAATTCTTCTCATTTCTCGAAGTGTCTTTTCACAGAAATTGAACTGAAAGGACAACACTGACCACACTTACATTACCCATGCTACTGCTGTGTTTTCTGAATCTGATCGTCACTACACGTTAGACAAAGGTTTGGTGTGTCTTCTCATGGCTAATCCTTAAAAACAAACTGATTGACAACATCCAGATCTATGTGCGATATATGAAAAAAAAAATCTGAACGCGCAAACAAATCTGAAGGGCGATGATGTGCGATTTCCATAAATTAGAATTATTACAACAATCTAAAATATTATTGGTAAATGCATCAGTTGCTGTCAACCAGCCTCAGTTCATATCCAACTGGGTGAAAATGGGCTGGGCTCTCAACAGAATATCTGTACAAAACAAACAGGATGTAGCTTTTAGGAGAAGCTCAAATTCATTTCTAGTTTTACATCTAATCCTTCGTCTTGAGGCACTGATCAAAAACCAGTAAAGCAAAGGCAGAAAGAGTTTTAGGTCTCCCAAATATCTTTTGTAA